TCTATGTGGAACACAGTTCATTATTCTGCAAAAAAATGCACATAATTGTCTGCACCACGGTTTTTAACTGGGCTTAAATGAGGAAATTGGGGTTAACAAACAGAATTACTTTAGATTTAGAGTTATTTCAGGTTACGTGTTCTAAATTTCTATGTGTATATTATCAACTGGCTGCGCTGACTCTTGAATATGTAACAGTGAATTACAAAAGCAACTTCAAAACTCTCAATGTTTACCAGCTGTACATTGTTTTCATCTACAGTACTTCAGCCATACAATCATAACCTTTTTACTTTACTTTTCTATGCAACTACAAATCAATATGTTTAATTAGAATTTCCTGATCCTCCAACCACCACCTGACAACTAAAGACGTTTTTCTTTCAAATACCAAAATTTAGAGTTCAATTGGGTGCTTCATCTACAAAAATAAAAAGGAAAATCATTTGTTCCAAGTCTGAAAATACCTGAAGCACAGATGTAAGTAAGAGAGAGTAAGGTTTATAAAACTGCAAACCAAAATCAAAACAACTTTCAACAGTGAGAGCAGAAAAACAGCTTTATTAATTCAGCTCATAAACAGATTCCGGGTTTGCAGTACGGACCGAAACAAAATGCAGAGAAGTTTGTGCTCCCCCATATCTGTGGTGCTTCCCCTCTAATCTGGACCGAGAGGTAATTCTGTTCACCGTGTCTGTGGGCTGCAAAGTGATAGCAGTGAATTAATGTTTCATTACGCCTAGTATAAGCAAACAGTGAGCCGGTGATTGAGCAAAATGGATTTATACACAGCACCAAACCGTGGCATTTCTTCATCTATTAAAGAATATTCAGACACCCAGGTGGAAAAAATATAAAAGCAGCACTGGTTTGTAAAAGCCACGGGATTTTTTAAAAATGTTCTGGTTAGATTCATCTTCTGACAAGTCTGAAACCCGAAAACTCCAATTCTCGTAATTATTCATTATAAATGAGATATATGGAACCCTATACCTGAGGCTAAAAGAATTTTCCATTTTCCTCTCATTAGGGCAGGTCACTTGAGCCATTGCTACAGTTCAGTCTTGCCATATGTTTGGAAGTACAAGATCAAGTAAAAATGTAAAAAAAAAAGTCTGTAGAGTCTGTGGGATGCTTGCTGCTGAAGAGGACTTCATACAAATTTGAGGGAGCATGTCAAAAATAATCCTACAGTGAGGGATTAATATGAAAAACTGCGTAACCACAGAACACGGTGTACATGCACATTTCATTCGGATATGTGGAGATTTTACTCAAGATGTGGTTTTGAAGGAGCTTTTGCCTGACAAAAGAAATAATTTTCTTTAGTTCAGAACTCCTCAGAAACAAAAAAACAAAAAAAAAAAACAACAGATTTTCTAAGGTCTAACTGTACGAGGCAGCAAACCTCATAATCTCCTGTGTTAACGAATCCCCTAAAACCTGCCAAGTGCAGCCAAGCATAACAGATCCACTGATTAAAGTCTTCTTTAATTAAAGGGGACTGCTCCGGTTCACAAATCATCTGCTCCTCTTGTGTTGTTTTGAGTTTACCTTCTCAACCCATTTTTCATACTAATCAAAGGCATGTGTCAATCATTACAATATACAAACTAAAAAAAGACGATGGGATCTTGTGAATTTTTTTAAATCTAAACATTTACATAAAAAGTGCTTGGGGTGTAACGACATCCCCCAATATTCAAAACATGATGGTATTTCTCATTAAAGTGAATCAATAGCTCTTCAGATGCTGCCAGGCTTATTGTATCTAGTGAAATCAGTTTAACTTGTAACTTTGAGCCCACAATTTGAAAATTTGAGGCTTTGCACCCTCAACTTTTAAAGTAAGAATGAAACCACTTTGAAGTTGTCCTGTTGTGAGGATAGAGTAAATAAAGAATGCTTGTCAGGCTGGCTGACAATACTCAGTTATGAAATCCTTGAAGAAGAATTAAAACCAGAAGCAGTAACAGAAAAATACAGGAGGTCAATTGTCATGGCCCTTTAGATCATCAGGTATTCCCTAATCAATTTAAAAAGATTTTTTTTAAAGAAACTTTAATATTTTGTTATATTAATTATTTTCTAAAGAAACAATTAAACTACAACTAACCACCTGGTAAGTGTTGGAATTTCTAGTTTTATTGGGAAGCAGCAGTTTTTAACTATGAGAATTCATCTAGCTCTGTTGCTAGGTAGACAAAGCGACTATCAGGTCTGTGATTGGAAGTCCCTGTGTAAAAGCATACAGGGCCATCACAAGACTAATATTACTAGTGATTTATGACCAACTGCATCCTTCCAACAAGTAGGTGGCTTTGTAATCATAACGATCATAAATAAAAGTTCTTTTAGGGACAGCCAATCGCTGGTGACTCTGAATGCTTTTAATTGTAGAGTTAGAGTCCACTCTGTTATAGTAATAGGTACTCCGGGCCTTAGAAGAGCCAGCTCATCTATCTCTTTATTTTAAATCAATCAGACACTTCTATTGTAGGCAAGTTTAACCATTATCACTGACTTGTGTGTTGGTAAGTAATTTGTAGTCATTATTTTTCTGCATTGTTATTACAAAATTGCACAGTTTAACATTTAAACAAACTTTCAAATGAACATTTTAAAGATTTGATTATAAAACAAGAGTGATTACAAACCTAAGACCAAAACTGACAAAAAACAATTGTATTAAGAATGTATTGCTGTGCCTATTAAAATAAAGTCAGGTAAAATAAATGTCATCAAACTGTAAGTAAACTGTTTTGGTTTTACACCAACCCTGCACATGTGTCTTAGATTTTATCGCACCATTTAGTCGGAACAGTTGATATGCTCTCACAACGTACAAAGTTTCTGGTAGATAGAAGTTCAGTTGATATCCTGAACCTTAATGGCCCAACTTTAAGTGGACTTCAGAACAAACTGTGGTTTACAGTTGTTAGGTTGTTGTTTTAAACACTGATCAATTTTATGACAAAGTGTTGGCTTTGTGGTATTTGTAAATTTTCTGCAGACTTAGCTTTATGTGTTTGTTAATTTTAATACATTCTGCTTTAGTATTTTCTCAACCTATTGAACCTGTCTGTTTTCTTTTTCCTTATGAAGTATTGGAATTGCATATAGAAGGAAGGGCTAAGAGGGCCTGGTTCACTGATCTTCAGTTTGCTACTGCTAGATGCAAGCAATTTGTAATCACAGTGGGAATACCGAGAGTGGCTTACTGTCAGCTGCCAACAACTCTAGGGTTGTTATCATCTTCAGCGAGGAAAAATAGGAAACCTTTATTTTATTCAGGAAAACACAAAATGGGAGCATTTTTAAATGCTTTTTTGGCATCTGGCCTATCTTAGAAATAGACAAGCAAAAGAACGGATTATTTGAATGTAGACTGGAATATTCTCACTGATTACACATTGTTCGAAACAGTTTGTGTGAAACAGTGAAAACAAAAGCAAAAGAGAATTCTTAGTTTTTCAAAAAAAAAAAAAACTTGTCTCGTCTTGTGAACCCAACATCGTGTATCCGCTTGTGTGCATAATGTATGGTTACACACTAGAGGTTAAGATAAATACTATTAAAAAACTCATAATGGAATATTTCACTTTCACAGTAACGTTGTAATTGTAAAGTATTATTTATACAGCCGACCTAGAGGGTGTCTGGATGTACAGCAAGCAGCAGATGTCTTATTGATGGATGAAAAATAAGCAAAGATTGAATGACCTCAGTATTTAGACAAGTGCTGTGGAAGGTTGAGCTACGTCCTGTCACTTCCACTGAGTGATTGCAGCGAATGTGAAAACGGCCAAGATAATCACGACGAGGCTCTGTTAATGGCAGCGACGGTCTGAGAGGGGTGAGCAGGGGTCTAATCAATGTGAAGCCTGCCAGAAAGACAAATTAGAAGTGAAAAGAATCTCTGTCTGTGCACTGCTGAATTAAAAATAAAAACTGCGAAAAAGTCAGCACCTAGTGGGCAAATAAATCTAGTGAATGTTAAGATGCGAATGATTTCTTTATTTGCCAGGAAGAGTTAGAATTGTGGATTGAAATAAATGATTTAATACCATATAAATATTTTTTTTCCATTTGGGCCTCAAAAGAATGAAAATGTCTTAAATAAATGTAAATAAAATAAGCATGGGGTAGATTTATTGAATACATGTCCAGATATTGACACTGAGGAACAATGTGAAATACTTAACTTACTCTCTGTATACAAGCCACACACTATGTCTGGTAAATATGGAATTGTGTTAAATAAAAAATTTAAAACAACATATCTGCAATGACAGAAAGGGTAACTGTTTTCTTCAAGGTGATTGCAGCTGGAATGATGTGAAAGTATTGTAAACATAGTCTTCTGTTTTGGCAGCAGTTAAGTTTTCAACTTAACAGGGGCCTATGCTCCAGATAAATTATGTCTCCCTTGGACACAAACTGCACAATATTTTCTTATTTTATTTCGTCGTTAGCTGTTCAAAGCATTCAACAAAAAAGCAAAACAATTCTGGAAAAGCTCCCAGCCTACAAAACAAAGTCAACAGGTTTGTTTAGTTAAGGTCTTTTATAAAGCTACTGTACTGCAAAACATGTAGTTGAACAAATTAGAAGTGCTCTGTGTAGATAGAGCACCCTCAAAGGCTGATCCTATTTTGGAATGGTAAAAATGATGATGCTCTCGAAACATTAAACCGCAGAGGGTTCAAAGGATGCACAACAAACTGACTCGGAAGTTACGAACAAATGTATCTGAAACATTTGTTCAGATAATCCTTTCTTCTTACTAATCGTATTAATGTAGAATATCATCAGAAAGTTATTTATTTCAGTAATTACATTTGATAACAGAAACCCATATATAGACTCATTACACATGGGGTGACATATTTCAAGCATTTATTTCATACAATTATGGTTGATGAAAACCCAAACCTCTGTCTCAGAAAAAAACAAGTAGAATATGAACAACTGTAATAGAGAAATGTTATGTTTTGGGCTGCACGGTAGCTCAGTTGGTAGAACTTTTGCCTTGCAGTAAGAAGGTCCTGGGTCCGACTCCCAGCCAGGTGTCTTTCTGCATGGAGTTCTCCCTGTGTTCTGTGCATGGGTTCTCACCATGCACGGGGATGTCCAAAACCCAATTAACCTTTTAGGTTAATTGGTCTCTCTAAATTGGCCTTATGTGTGACTGAGTGTGTGCAGGGTTGTTTGTCCTGTATGTCTCTGTGTTGCCCTGCGATGGATTGGCGACCTGCCCCGGGTTTATGGCACACACAGGGCGACGTAGCTTGTTTCAAATGTTTTCAGGATTTTGTCTTATATTTAATGAAAACCCAAAAAGATATTTATTGACAAAATAGAATATTAAAAAAGACCAATGAAACCAAAACAGACATTTTATTTCGAAGCCTTCACATTCACGGAGAAGACTGCTGACTAAACACAGAAGACGGTAACAGACCCCAAATATATTTATGGAAAGATTAGTGGAAGGAAAAAGTGCAAACAAGGGATAACCACAGATGGAGTCATTGCTTTGTCACCTTGCACAGACAAAACTTGGACTTTTGAACCTGTAACAACATTAGAACTAGGCTAAGGAGGAAAGGGGGCTTTACTGTTTCTAATTGATCAAAAGTATTTCTTTATAGATAAAAGTAAATTTTGCATTTAATTTGGAAATCAAAATCTGGAAGAAGAGCAGAGAGCTACACAATCCAAGTTGTGAAGTTCCCATAGTGACTGATGATTTGTACAGTCATGTCATCTACTGCTGTTGGTTCAAAGTTCAGAGTCAGTGTAGCCATTTACCATGATATTTTACAGTACTTCACGCTTCCCTCTGCTGACAGGCTTCAAGGAAATACTGATTTCATTCTCCAAAACATCTTGGCACCTGCCCACTCTGCCAAAAGTACCAATGCCTGCTTTAATGGCAATGACATTACTATGCAAACCTGCCTGGCCTGATACAGATTATATTGTCAAGAGGAAAATAAGAGACACCAGACAATGCAAACAAGCTGAAGACTATTGCTTTTAAAGCTACCTGGGTTTCCTTTACTCCTCTGCAGAAGCCACAGGCTGATGCCCTCCATCACTCCTTACTGATGCAGTAATTCATGCAAAAGCTTGTACCGTACATGGACATACTTTTCAGTAGGCCAACACTTCCTTTGTCTTTGAAATATTCTAATTCCCTTGGACAATGGATTTCAGGTTCACATTAGCTGTGTCACAATCATCAACAATAACTGGAAAAACATTCCAGTCAGTCTATAATGAGTTCATGATATGTGAGTTTCAATTTTTAAATTAAATTTTTAAAATAAATGTATTTTTTAATAATCTTGCAATTTGTTGAGCTACACCTGTATTAGAAATTAACTATCTTAAGCCTTTTGGCAGATGTCTCATTTTACTCCTCATCTGCTTTCGGACACATTCAGGAGAAGGAAAATTAAACCCTGGCTTAGAAACCAAAGACGCAGTCAAATGAACACAACTGTCTGCAATCTCCTTTTCCCTTAGTCTGCTTGCCTTGTTAATGTTTCTGGTCACTGCTGAAGCATTTTATCCAGCAGCCAAACTGTCTGAACCCTAACTCCACCAGTCCACTGGCAATTAAAACACATGGACCTGGCACTAATGTGATTAAGGTTCTCGACATTAGCACAAGATAGTGTTTGGGAACTAACCACGGAATTAAGAAGTCCAAACAGTGGATTGAGAACAGTATAAATAACATCTACCACATCCTGATTATGATATATGGAGAGCAAATTATTGTGCTTAAACCTGCTGCCAAAGCAGAGATACAATAAAGGAGGTAATTACTGAACCAGGGAAATGACTCATACAGTGTTGGTCTCAAAAGAACAGTTGATCGTTGTTAACTTGTTATATCACACTATCCTGATACTCAGTGCTTAAATAATAAACAGAGGCAGGTCACAAGGTTACTCCTTTCCACTGGTGGTTCTCACCAAACTAAGGATCAAATGGGATCTGACTGTGGTAATGAAAGGAGCATAAGAAATATTAAGCGGACAATTATGAACTTTGGCAAAAATGAAATCTAACAAGATTACATTAAAGAGCTTTACTGGGTTTAATCTGGCTGAAACAGAGTAGTTAAATAAATAAGGACAGAACACAAACAGGTGGCTAAGACAGATTTAGAAGATTAGTAGAGTTTGTCAAAAACATGTTGCTTTTTATTTTGAACTATAAATACTTTAATCCAAACCAGAGACATATCTAGACAAATATATGTCACCCCCTACAGGGAGGAGGTGAAACACCTGGTGGAGTGGTGCAAAACCAGCAACCTTGTCCTGAATGTTACAAAGACCAAGGACATCATTATTGATTCAGGAGGAGCCAGCCCACTCACACACCTCTCATCATCAACAATACAGCAGTGGAGAGGGTCAGCACCACTAAGTTCCTGGGGGTGTAGGTAACAGACAGGACAGGACAGAACAGAACAGGGGAACTGCTGAGAGATCCTGACCGGCTGGATCTCTGTCTGGTTAGGACCCAGTCATGTCTCTGCCTTATGCTTCTGGTCCTGCAGAGGATGGTGAGGACAGTTTAAAAAATGATCAGGACACCACTTCCTCTGATTAAAGATGCCTGACCACAGCCCAAAATATCATGAAGGACCAAGAACTGTTCTTGCTTCTGGGTTCTGTGAATAGGCCATGCTGCCAGCAGAGCAGAACAGCCAGGTTCTACAGCAGCTTCTTTCCCTGTGACATAAGAATGTTGAATTCCTCCTTTTCAACCACTCACTCAAGTCCGATTATTAGTTTGCGTCATGCTGTGTAACACACCAGTCTTTCTTTCTATATGCAATATACATTCATTATTTTACAATGTGCAGTACACGGTATGTGTATATTTCTTAGTATTTTTAACAATATTTATCTTTTTTTATACATATATTTCTTTTATCAGTTTTAAGGGTCATTTTTGCTGCAATTTTGTTAATTTTACTATATATCAATGCTGCTGTTTTGTTTATGCATTTTTCCTGAGCCATTGCAATGAAATATCATCCAAATGTGTAACTAGTGATGCAAATCTGAATGACAATAAAATTAAGTCAAAGTCTATATGATTTTATTGTATCTTTCACAGTAGAAACCAGTTGCTATAATGTTTATAATAATAAAACTAATGTATTGTGTTTAACAATTTCTTTCTGGTGCCATCTACCTTTGCTTTCTATATATATA